AGCGATCACTTGGCCGAGAGAAGAAGACAACTTTATTATGATCACCTCAAGACCTCCAATAAAGACCTTTCCAGCACGCAGGAGCTATACAACACTTTATCTATGTAAAATAGGTGATTTTTTAATTGCTCAATGGAAAATGCCATTTTTGACCTTAGGTCTCTGGTCGGGACACAGAAAGAAATGAATACACAGCAGAAATCAAAGGAAATAATAATAATAATAATAATACTAATAATAATAATAATAAAAATCTGCAACTTCTACGGGAAGGAAACTGAAAGAAACTGGTATGAACATCACCCAGACCCGGTTACGGAGATAGGACCTGTTACAATTCTATGGGACTACACAATACACACTGACAGAACAATCAAAGCCAACCACCCAGACATTGTTATTAGAGACCACAAGCAAAAAAAAGTGTGGCCTTATTAATATGGCAGACCCTGCAGACTGCAATGTATCTTTGAAGATATTCAAAAAGCTGTCAAAATACAAGGACCTTGAAATAGAAATCTCGAAAATGTGGCATATGGGAACATCAACAATCCCTATTGTAGTTGGAGCCCTAGGACTGGTTGGAAAAGATTGCAGTAGACTAATTGAAGGGATTCCTGGAAGTCCATTCCTCATGGATATACAAAAAATTGTTCTGACAAGTACAGCCCACACTTTACGAAGGGCTTTATCTATGTAATTTTTTTTTTTTTTTTGGGAGTGGAAAGAGTCATGATGCCATTTCTAACCTTAGGTCCCTGGGCGGGACCCGGAAAGAAATGTGTAAATGCCAGAAATCAAAGAAAATAAAAATAATAATAATAATATTAATAAGAACTACAAAAACAGAAGGCGCTTTCTTATTGGCATGGCAGATCCCGCAGACAGTAACGTCTCTTTGAAGATTTTCAAAGGATCTTGAAGTGTAAATCTCAAAAATATAGCACACGAGCACATCAATAATTTCAATTGTAGTTGGAGACCTCAGATTGATTGGAAACGGTTCCGATAGACTCGAGCTGTTTTTTAAACTCTTTCCAAACGAAAAGAGGCTTTAAGCACGTTCATCTGCGTTTCACAGATTAATAGCCAACATCTTACTCGCTTTATAATCCCGTTGAAAAGCAGCTAAATTATTACAAATATGCAAAATGTTGCCCAAGGTGACCAAGAATTTCGTCAATAATTCTTCCTGACCATTTTATTTTAGCGTCCCTTACTTTTATTACTAAAATGATTCTAATCGCATACGAAATGATATGCGTGGGTTGTGCAGAGAAGACTGGAAGAGCGTGACGTAGCCACTAATAGTACCATCAGAAAAAAGACTAAGATATTAAGACTAAGATACACAAAGCAAAATAGTAAAATTAGCCCGTAAGACTATGAAAAGGAAACTCAGTATAATCATAAACGAAGAGGACAGTATGTCAGATGAAATAAAAACGTAGGCATGATTGGGTGAGAGTGGTGATCCAATTGGAATTAAGTGACTGTGTTGTGATCGTGTAAGATCATTGTCAAACTAGAAACTGTTCTAAAGAATACAAGTATATTCTGTTAAACATCGAAATTCAAACGGAGCAAACATTTCAATGTGAGAAAAAAGGATTTAATGATTCCTAACAAAGAGGTAATCGGTAAAACATATTTGATGCAACTTCTTCAATACAAAACAGAAAGAAAATGAAACGAATGAAAAAATGGACATTTAAATTATTAAAACCAGATCAAATATTGAGAAAGATGCTAGAATAGCAAGGAGATTACATTCTAATTGCTTGCATCAGTGAAATTCGCTAGTTACTACGGCTGTGTGTAGCAACGAATGCTTGGCAATCTCCTCAAAGATGAAGAAGAGAAATGAAGCAACAGAAATGTGGTTCTACAGAAAGATGCTGAGGATACCATGGACCGAACATGTGAGCAACGACGATGTTTTGGAGTAAATGGAAACAAAAAGGAAACTTATCTATAACATCAGAAAGAGGCAGTTGAAATTTCTGGAGCACGTAAGGAGGAAGGAAGGCTTGGAAAAGCTGATACTCACAGGAAAGGTTGAGGGAAGGAAGGACGAGGAAGGACTTGATGAGTTTGAGTAAACGGATGGTAGAACAGGATTCGACAGAAATAACAAAAACGAAACTTATTAAGTGCTACAAAGGGAAAGGAAGATGTGGAGAGCTATGATCAGCAAGAAAGAATGAGTTTGTAATGCCCGGTTGTAGGAGAGACTTTGTAAATCACAGATACAATAATAGTAATGCCTTCAAACAATGCCCCCGCCAGACGCTACGCTAATTCCTAATTCCTATATATATATATATATATATATATATATATATATATATATATATATGTTGTGGATTCGGAATGAAATCCGGTACCAATAAATAACAAACGCCAAGAAGGAATATAGGAAAGTAAATGTATTAATGTAATAATGCAAACTGGTAATGCCGGTTAGTAGTTCCAGGAATGCGGGTTAGTAGCAAAATATATATATATAATTTTTGGTATCGACGTATCACTGTATGACTTCTTACTGAGTCTACGTGCTTGCTCACTGTGACTCTTGCTCTTTACGTTCGTTCTGGTTCGTGCTCGTTCGTCGCGTTCGATCTCCCGGGTCATCACGTAGCAGTAGTATATGTATACCCTGGGTGAGTCCATTTGTGTAAAAAAGGAGAACCCCTCAACAATATATATATATATATATATATATATATATATATATATATATATATATATATATATATATATATATATATATATATATATATATATATATATATATATATATTTACCCCGTCAAGTGATCTAATTATACGAAGATGAGGTCGACTGTGCTTGCTTTCTGGCAAACCGTGTTCAAACCCAAGTGTCGGCAGCGACACTTTATTCCTATATGATATCTCCCTTTGAGATGACTTCCTCTGGAGTTTATATTTCTTCAGATTCGCTTCTATTCCTTTATGACAAAAGATTACATCTGTGAAAGTTCATGTTTTAAAAAATAATGTTTAATAATTTGTCAAATAGTGAACCTCAGTGTATATATAATATATATATATATATATATATATATATATATATATATATATATATATATATATATATATATATATAAGAAAGAACTTGCTAATCGGTATGGGTAATCCCAAGGAGGATGAAATACTGAGAGCTCAATGTAAATCCAGAGCTAATGTTTTAAAGAAAATTTCGTTTCATTTCATTTTTTGAAGTGCTATCTGATAATCCGGCGTCCTTTAAAAGGGCTCTGGTGAAATAAATTATTATAATGGTACCTTAAAGTGGTCTGTTGTTTTTTTTTTAATATATATATATATATATATATATATATATATATATATATATATATATATATATATATATACAAGTAGGTGTTGCTAACCCCACTAACAATCAGTCTAAAATTCAGATCACTTCTTCTTTTAGACTGGTTCCCAAATCAAGGCGAAAGAGCCCAGATTTATACGCTGGTTAACTCATAGCTGGTGGGAACAGAGAAGGATTTATACTTACAATGGTATATATACAATGGTCATTTGTGTTAAAGTGAACGTTATGGATTCAGTTGAAAGTTGAATATGCTTCGCCAATCACGCCGATAGCCGTGACTCCATTACAAGAGAACTGAAAAATTGTGTTAAACATGACAATCTTGAAGGGGAAGAAATATCGACAGCAAAATTTTTCATTGATTTTTCTTTTTTCGTTATTTCATCTACAATATTTCTTTTCAATTTTCATTATTCCTTCGTTGTTTTTTTGGGGGGCGGGTTGCGATTTCTCTTTCAAATGTCTTCATTATTTATTCAATGTCCTGTGCCGCTACCTCTTCCACTTCAAAGTTCTTCATTAATTGTTCTTCACTTTTTCTACAGATTCAATTTTCATCTTTTTTTCGCGATTTCTTCTTCAACAAGATTCTTCACTATTTCTTCTGTATTTTTTTCTTTTCGATATTTCTTTTTCAAGATTTTTCATCGATATTTCGCTATTTCTTCATTCACTTCGCCATTTCTACTCTTTTTTCAAGTCTCTTCATAAATTCGTTTCTTTTTTCTTTCGCAATTTCTTCTTAATTCTTTCATCTTTATGATTCTTCTTCGCTATTTTTATGTTTGCTGTTTACTCTTATTCACGATATTGCATAAATCTTCTTCGCAAAATTCTTCTTCAAGATTTCTTCTTCAATTCCTTGTTTCTTTTTCTTCCTTATTTCTTCTCTGTTATTTCTTCTTATTCAAAATTCTTATTGATTTTTTTTTGCCATTTCTTTTTCAAAATTCTTCGTTAATTCTTCTACACTATTTCTTCAAATATCTCCTCAATTTTCTTAATTATTTTTCTTCCTCATTTCTTCTTCTTTATTTCATTTTCTTTAAGATTCTTTATGAATTTTCTTCATTATTTCTTCTTCAATTTTCTTCCTCGTTTCTTCTTCCTTATTTCATCTTCTTTAATATTCATCAGGAATTTTCTTTGCTATTTGTTCTTCAAGATTTCTTCTATTTTTTCATTAATTCTTCTTCTTCCCTATTTCTTCTTCGTTACCATTTCTTTGAGATTCTTTGTGAATTTTCTTCACTATTTCTTCTTCGCAATTCCTCATTAATTCTTCTTCGTTATTTCTTTTTCTTCATTCTTTCTTCCTGTTCAAAATTTCTTAATTCTTTTTATTAATTTTTTCATATTTGTTTGATATTTCTTCTTCTTCTTCTTTTTCTTCTTCTTCTTCTTCTTCTTCTAAATGATTTTTCTTTGCTATTTGTTTTTCCCAAGTATTCTTTAATTTTTATTCGCTACTTCTTCATAATTCTTCATTAATTCTTATTCTTAACTATTTCTTATTTACTATACATTCCTTCCTCCTCCTCCTCCTCCTCCTCCTTCTTCTTTTTCTTCTTCTTCTTCTTTGCCCGGTAGGTCGACATATCAGACAACAGACGTTATCGATTTATTTTTCAAAGTGATGTAGAGTATTGATGATCGAAAGGAAAGAGTCGCTCAACAAAAGCTGGCCACCACACTATGAGGTGACAGAGAGAGTGGATTATCTTCTCCCTGCACAATTCATTGGCGTCTACCCACAACTTTCTTCCAACTTCTAAATACCCACACTCGACCATTTCCAGCAACCAACACATAAAACTGACTGAATTTATAGAAGAACATCTGACCAATCAAAATACAAAATGGAACAAGAGGTCAAAAGAATGTGAAGTTTTATTTTCTTGGTTTTATTTTGTCGTTATTATTTTATTTTTATTTATTTTATTATTTAAGTGGGTAGGCGCCAATTGAGATTAGTAAAGATGGGCTGGGCAATCAACACGCCGAATTGTGGAAATAGTAATTTGCCAAAGATGATGCCAAATGTTCTTTGTCTAGTTAACGCTACAGACTTGAACAGGAGATTTATGTTAAGGGCTTGCATTGAACAAAAACCTATGACAGATAGAAAATGCCATTATATAGAGCAGCCAAGTGAGGAGTTCACGTGTTAGTCATCAGGCCGCATTTATCGACTTGCACTATTCAACAGCTATTAAAAAGAAACCCTAGTTGTGAAAAAAAATATTTATCGGACAAAAACCGACTTTAAAACTAGAAAATTGCTGAATGATGAATAAACTCAGTCACAAAAAAGCTTCGAGACAAGCTCAATTTCACTTGACGATAGATCATCAGAGAAGACAAGCCGAACTTTTCGTCCCAAACCTGCAGGAATTTCTCGTGTTGATATTTAGAAAGTGAGAAATAACGACTTCCTTCTTCTTTTATGTACTGTGTTGCCTCAGAAAATGGGCGATCATCGTTCTCTACAGCTTTCTATTTGTTCCTCCATCTAAATATTGGCTGTTTACCATCCTTCATTGTCCCTGTTATGCCATACACCTAGACAAACTTAAGTATGTTTACACGCTATTTTCCACTGCTTGTCCTGCGTTCGGTTTATTGATTGCTTTGTTTGTTTAGCGGTATATCGACACCTTATGGGTCATTTAATTCTGACATTTAATTTCCTAGGGAGCTTTGAAGTAATAAAAATATTAATTTCTAGGGAGCTTTGAAGTAATAAAAATATTATTTTATTCTGTTTTCACAATTGAGTAAATGGTAAATAATACACATCTTTTATGCATATACATGTTTGTGTGGATATGATGGCGGTGATATGTGTTTTATGTTGTAGTTTTCTTGAAGTTATATATTGGTACATATTTTGATTTAAGAAATTTTCAGATATTATATGAACTAATGCCATGAAAGTGATCTTTCATATTGGATGGTTCGTTTTGTTTAGCGGCATATCGACCTCTATTGGTTATTTAATACTGGAATCTAAATATTTTGAACACAATTTTATGGCTTCAAATAAATATATCTTAAACGCAATTGTATACATTCAACTACGGATAAAATGCTTTGCTGTTCATTGTGCTTTAAAAATGTATTTTTAGTAACTTTGCTATAAATATGTATTCCTGGTTCTTTGATTTTGTTTAGAGGCATATCAACACCTCTATGGGTTATTTAATGACGAAATCTAAATATTTTGTACGTAATTTTCTACTTTCACCTACTGATATTCTGTATATAATTTTATACTTTCTAGGTAAACGTATGTTTTCTAGAAATAGTTTTTAGATCATAACTTGTGTTATTGATAATTTTGCTATAAAAATGTTTAGATTTGCACTGATTGACATTTTTCTATGTAAATGTATTGTTGGTAATTTTATTATGAAAATGTACCGTTGATTTTTATTTGCCCATAGCCGTGACCCTAACAAGTGCTACTATTCCATATCATAGGTGGACCTGGGAACAATAATAGGTAAAAAGGTAGTTGGCCGCTCTTCAAAATCTGCATTCTCCCAATCACAGGCCATGCTGCCGGATTTAGTTTATCATCATACCCAGGACACAACTCTGTAATGTAAATGACTATTTGTCATAATACAAAAAAAAGATTCTCTGGTCACAACGAAGACGAATAAAATGTCGAATACCGTGACACTGAAAATGACAATGACAACGTAGATAGGAAAAATCATTCGGCTATCCATTGCTACGAAAACGACTATCCTTCTTTACAAAAAAACGACAGAGAAATAAGAAAAAGTGAATATGACATTATGGGGAAGGTAAGGAATAAGAAACTACAAAAGAAAGAAAACAAAAAGGTGGTGACAAGAAGGGATGGATTCAAGAAAATGGTGGATAGGGAACAAAATGGAGGAGATGATCGTACGGAAAACGGCGTTTCAATGTGATGCAAGCTAATGAAGATAAAGAGAAAGAAATAAGCAAATTTTTTAAAATAGATTCACTTAAAAAAACTTTGAAATGATAATTAATTATAATAATTATAATTAATTATAATAAGTATAATTATATATAGAGAAAATAAAAAAGTGAAATTTATTGAAGAAGGCTGGCAGACATTTTGGGAAAAAAATTATCAGAAAGCAAAACGTAAGAATTGTGCTAAAAATAAACAAAAAATAACTTTAACACTTTGATGTTGGTTAGCTGGTTGATTAGTTCGTTGATATTGTTTAGCGGCATATCAACACCTCTATGGGTTATTTAATGTCGAAATCTAAATATTGTGGACACAATTTTATGGCTTCAACTAAATATATCTTAAACGCGATTGTATACCTTCAGCTACAGATAAAATGTATTTTTGATAATTTTGCTATAAATATGTATTCCTAGTTCTTTGATTTTGTTTAGTGGCATATCAACACCTCTATGGGTTATTTAATGCCGAAATCTCTATATATTGTACGTGATTTTATGCTTTCACCTACTGATATTCTGTACATAATTCTATACTTTCGGGGTAAAGGTATGTTTTCTAGACATAGTTTTTAGATCATAACATGTGTTATTGATAATTTTACTATAAAAATATTTTTTTTAAATTTGCATTGATTGTCATTTTGCTATGTAAATGCATTGTTGGTAATTTTATTATAAAATGTATTATTGGTCATTTTGCTATAAATATGTAGAGTTGGTAATTTTTTCACATCTAAAAATATATTGCTGGTATTTTTACTATAAAAATGTATTTTCATACTTTCATAGTGCCTTATTGTTGATTGTGGGTTAACTATTTGGCCATAGCTGGGATCCTAACAAGTGCTAACGGCTCGGTCAGGGTGGACCTGGGAACAGCAGCAATTATGAGGATGTAGTTTATCGTCATACCCAGGACTAGCCTTCAGTTTATCTTGTCTATGTTAAGTTTTCCAATGCCTCTTTCCTTACTATGTTTCCCATAAATTTCAAGTCTTTCTCTCTTATTGAAACATTGGGATACAATGCGAAGTTGCAATAAAAACAAAGAAACGAAGAACAGTTACGAATGAATAAACTTATAACTTAATGTGCCACTGTTTCCTATTGCTGGTCTTCACTGCAATATATCCTGTTAAGTTTAAATTCTCTGTGGCTTCTTTTCTCATCATATGCGCCTCCACCCCCGATATATGTACCCCCGAAAATTAAATAAAAGGTTGAGTTTGATATTCGGCGTAGGTTTCTCGGATCGATGTGTACCTGATGAAGGCTGGTGGACACAAAGACCGAAACGTTGTGATAACAAGAAAAAGGACAAAGATAATACTCCTCCCGTAAAAAATTGATAATTCTTCATCCCAGATTTGCTTTTCTAAAATCATTTCGCCCAAGCAAGGCAATAAAGCCACTAAGCTTCAAGAGGTTAGTGAGTATGAAAAAGCAGAAAAAAGAATCATAATCAATGAGAGAGAACAATAAAAGAACATGAATTAAGAAGACAGAAGATAACGATTGACATTGCCTTGAAATTTTTTAAAGATCAAAATTGACTGGAAAGCAAGAAGCCGGAAGAGAGTTCGGTAAGCGAAAAGTGCGAGGGAAGAACCTATTTGTATAGAACTTACGGCTACATCCAGCCATTTCAACTATAAATTGGAGAGACATTGCTACCAATATAGTATCGCTCTTAAATTCATAAAGTTTAGGTACCAAAGAGGAAAGCTCATCAGAACGATTACCATGTAAATATTTATAGAAAAAGGCAAATGGAAACGACGTTACATTGGTGGGAAAGTGAGTGCAGCCGAGATTCCAGGCTAGGACCAATAACAATGCACATTCTTTTTTTGGTTCGTAGCAAGAATTTTTAAAGACACTGCAGAAGCAGCAAACCAGATATGAATACAATACTCAATGTATGGATCAATGATAGAATTTGTGTATATATAATTTAGATAAAGATTGTTGGTGAAAACTATATACATGGCAATAATGTCTTCTCTTTTCTTTCTTTTTTTTTGAGAAACAAGGGTTAAATGGCAGGAAATTGGGTAAAATCAATATTCGTCGAAGTAATCAATGGTTTATTCACATTTGCCTGAAGAAATCGATCTGAAATTGTGTGAATTCCGTGCAACCAATCTGAAAACATTTCCCCTGTTTTTTGAAAGAGAAAAGAGGTCCAGTTGGACCAAATCGACATATTCCAGATTCTTCATAATATCTTTTCATAGTTTCTTTTTTGAGTATATTTTTTTTTGTTATGCTTACTGTCCCTTGGCGAAATGTATGCTTCTATAGAAAATCATATAACACAATTTACGATTATGTTTCTATTCTTTTTTTCAAAGTTATATATATTATAATATATTTCATGCTATGTACTGTATTACACCTACGGATAATAATGGGTATGTCCCCATTCAAATAAATAGAGTTAGTAAAGACTGTATGTTGGTCTGCAGTCAGACATTCGTCACAAACTGTGCTGATCAAACTCCCTGCCTCCAGGCAGAGTGGATCCGCAGATGAGGCTATGTCGAAGTGTAGTTTCTCGTCTCGAGAAAGAGCTAACCGACCCCACATACACCACATTAAATTCGGCCTTGTACCACATCTGACTGTGTGGGGCGGTTGGTATATATCCCCAGATGAG